TACCACAATCTCCCTCCCTTGTCCAAAATTTTATTCTTGATAGTATTCGTTATCATTTAACTAATTTTTAACAACTCACATATTATGCACCAAAAATTATACACAACGTGACAATAGAGTAAAATATGATCACAATTCTCTCATGCTCTCTTAAAAAGATAATACTCTTTCACTAAAATGTTTTTTCTTCTTATCAGCTTATCGATGGTAAAAATACATTCATATCTTGTTTTTCACGTAAAGAAAGCAATTCTTAGGGGGGAAATGCACTCTCCATATTTGTTAAAAAATAAACTTATTTTCTGTTAATTTGTTTTTGATCAAATAGATATAAACTAAGTTAAAAATTTCTAATTGATTGATCATGACTCTCATTCAATGATATGAAAGATAAATAGTTCAAAAGAACTTCACCACTCATCAACAATTCAAAAAAATATAAATTATTAATTATTTTTTAAAGTATTAATATATTTTTATTTGATTTTATTGCATTACAGATCGTGATTTATTTTAAAATTAATTTATTAAGGGGGGTGTGTTAGAACAATAATGTGTGTTGAAATAATAATGTAACACATATTCAAGTCGTAATGCTGACCGAAGAATAATTTTTTCTTACATTTAAAGAAAAGGTGTTGCAATACACAATTTGATGTCTATTTGTAATATCTATTTGTTGCTTATATATATGTTGTAATAGGTTGGTCTGGTGCTGCAAATGATTTTTCGCACAGGTTTTGAGAGAAAATAAAATTTTCTCATTCGTCACAATGTATGTATTGATTATATAATTATTTTTTGCCCACAATATTTGTTTATTTATTTTTATTGATAATATTTTTTGTTTGTTTAGTTAAGGGAAATACTATGTAGTTGGTTTTGGGTATCCAAATAACAGGAAAAAAATTTAGCACCATATAAAGATTAAAGATGTAATTTAGGCCAACACAAAATCATGGTTATTCATCTTTAAGATTAGTTATAAAGAATATTTAGTGTGTGAAAAAATAAATGACGGTATCTTGAAATTAATGTCACCACATTACTTATAAGCAATTATGATTATTTATAATTGTAACTAGTTAATTGAATCAATGGAGAAAGAATTTGATAACTATGATAGAAACTTAATATATATGATAAATAAAGATATTAGATTGAGCACAAAATTAAGGTAAATATAATTGACGATGTGTATGAAGTAAATGATAATAACAGAAAAATAACAAATATTATGATCGAATTCTAAATTAGTATAAAAAAGTTAGATAAATGTGAATTAATACGTATAAATTGGTATGTTTCTCTTATTCACAATTAATAAATTATTAAATAAAAAAATGTTAAATTAAATTTCTGTTTTTTAATCCATATTTAAAATATATAGTAAGTTATATATATACAAGTAACTATTGATATTGATACATATGCATACATTATTAATTGTTCTATATATAAGTGTATACTATATAATTATATATACAAATAACTATTGATACATGTGCACATATTATTAATTATTTTATATATAAGTGTAGATATTGAAAATAAATGTAGAAATTATAATTTATTTTATTTATTAATTTAAATTTAAATAAAATTTATTTTTAATTTAATTTAGAATATATTTATTTAAAAAAAAATACATTATTATTAAGAATTTATTTTTAAAAAAATTTAATTTATATTTATCTTTTAAATAGTGATTGATTATTTTAAAAAAATTTAAATTTAATATAAATTTATTTAAAAATATTTTAAATTATTAATTTTAAAGAAGTGAAAATAATAAAAATTTAAATTATTTTCACTTGAAAAAATTCCAATAATATACTATCTAATTATATATACTCTTATATATACATATGGATATATTATTAATTGTTCTATATATAAGTATATACTATATAATTATGTTTTATATATAATATAATATAGAAATAAGAATAGTAATGTGAAATTAATAATCTAAATTATATTATAAATTTAATATTAATGTGTAAATAATAATTAAATTATTGTAATATTTATAATTATTTAATCAAACACAATTTTTATTTTTAACTTATTCTTTTTCTTATACCATTTTAATAATTTTTAATTTCAAAAATTATTTTTATTAAATACATAAATTTACTCTTTTAAAATTATAATATATTTTGCAACAATTTTTACTGCGCAACAGATAATTTTTAATTAAAACACTTTTAATTAACAACAATATTTTCAGCATTCATGCCATGCTAATGGCCACTGTGCTTCTTGTCTTCCCAAAATCTTACAAAGCAGACGAGACGCTACATCTCTCTCTCTCTCTCTGTCTCTTCTTCTTCTTTCTTGTATGGACCCCTAAAACCCTAGCGTGTACAATTAGCTCATGGACTCACCCAATCCGCTCCCCATGCGGGTCCTGACCCGCCTATCTCCTGCACCTGTTTCCCTACTCACTTCCTCTGCGGATCCAGCGTCAGCACCAGCAACAGCCCCATCGCGACCTTGCTCCCAAGACGGTGTTGTTGTCGTTGGTTTCATCGGGCGGAGACCCGACGATTCGGCTCAGGTTATCAACCGGGTGTTGGACTCCAATGTGTTCGGGCCGGGTAATTTGGATAAATCCTTCACTGTTGATAAAGAGGAGGTAAAGGGGTGGTTCAAATGCAGGAGGATTAGCTATTACCACGAAGAGAAAAGGGAATTTTGTTTTTGCAGTTCTGCTCGACCAACTGCCCGGCGTTTGACGGGTTTTTGGATCCGGGATCGGGCTTCGATTCGATTGTGGAAGAGCGCGAGTTTGGGGATCTTCAAGGGTTGCTTTTCATGTTTTCTGTGAGTTTTCTTTTTCTTATACTGGTGGAGATTTGCATGTAAAAGCTTGTTGCCAAAATTTTTTCAGGAAGAAAATTTTAGTTTTTAAGTATGCATATATGGTATTAGTTTAAACAATTTTGAACTCCGGTAAGCAAAATGTTACTTGTATAATGGTCTTGTAAAACATGTTATGAACTGATTTGATTCACATGAATATTGGATTAAGTGTTATTCTCTGTTTGGAGAAGTCGGTATGTGGGTGTTGTTTCTCTGGAAGAGTTTAAAGAGGATAATTTTTTTTTGAAATACGAGTTTAAAGAGGATAATGTTTCAGTGTTCTTTTCCTCCGCTAGGTAATGCCGTGGTAAGCCTATTTTTCTCTTGACAATTTATGAAATTGGGTGCTAGAATATCCATATTTGGCAGTTTTCCTTTTCTAAAAATGGTTGCCTTTTTTTATCATCCTATCTAATTGAATAAGGTTATAGGATAACCCTTCATCAGCTCGGAAGTTTCAAGTGTACTAGTATATGATATATTAAGTTTCGTGTTTTATTTTTTATTGGAATGTGGACTTGGTAAGGGGAAGCATCTGATGCATGGTTCAATTAGCAATGCAGGTTTGCCATGTAGTTATATATATTCAGGAAGGATCGCGCTTTGGTACTCAATATTTGAAAAATTTTCGAGCATTACAGTCTGCTAAGCATGCACTAGCTCCATATCTTAGATCAAGGACTACTCCCCCATTGCCATCCAGAGCACATTTTTCATCATCATCACGCCCTTCAGTGTTGACAAATTCCTCTAACAATGCTTCCTTAGGTAGAGGTGGTGGTATCTTGAGTCGCAATGCCTCGTCAATATCTCTTATGTCTGGCTTAGGATCCTATACTTCTCTATTCCTGGACAATGTACCCCTGTCACACTGTTTGTTTTTAGTGATGATTTCTCAGAAATGTCAAATTCCAGTTCTACCGTTGAAGAGTCAACAGATGCCACTTCTCTTAACCAGTCATCTACAATGAGCAATGTTGCTAGGCCAACATTGCCAATGAAAGGATCTGGGTCAGTAGTAGTGTTAGCTCGCCCTGCAAGTAAATCTGAAGGTGGCTTGAGGAAGAAATTGCAATCATCTCTTGAGGCACAGATTAGATTTTTAATTAAGAAATCTCGAACGCTAGTGGGTTCTGAAAGTGGCCATGCGGGGTCGAGGAGTGGGGGTGCCTCAAGTTCCATACCATTGTTTTCTCTTGACGCGACGAGGTCTGTTGTTCTGTTGGACAGGTCTACAAACCAGAGGGGTGAGTCTCTAGAGTTCGTGTCTAGCCTTGTGGAAGATGTGTTGAATGAAAAAGCAACCTCAGATTCTCTTCTGCTCGAAAGTCATAGCCAGATTTCAAATAAGGAGGATATCTTATCCATAAAAGAGTTCATTTACAGGCAGTCTGATATCCTAAGAGGAAGAGGGGGGTTGGTCACTAACACCAATAGTGGCTCAGCTGCTGGTGTGGGTATGGTTGCTGTTGCTGCAGCAGTAGCTGCTGCATCAGCTGCTTCCGGAAAAACGTTTACGACACCTGAACTTCCAAGTCTGGATTTATGGCTAGCATCTAGCCAACTTATTCTTCTTGAAATTCTCACAGCAAAACGTGGGTGTATTGGTGAAGCTGAATTGGGGAAAAGAAAACCTCGCCAACGAAACCTAATATCGGGACAGATTGAAGGTAGTAATTCAAAAGTTGTGGAACCCCTGGATATTGCTGTATCTTATTTGGAAATTGGAAGAGGACTGAACACAAAGTTTTCAACTTTGTGGTGTGAAAGAGCCCTTCCAGATGCTAAGGATGTTTATTTGAAAGACTTACCTGCTTGTTATCCTACTTCTGTGCATGACACACATCTGCAAAAGGCTTTGCTTGCTTTCAACTCAATGGTTAGGGGGCCTGCGGTAGGACTCTTCACGAAAAGGTTGGAGGATGAATGCACATCCATCTGGAAATCTGGGAGGCAACTCTGTGATGCTGTTAGTTTAACGGGGAAACCATGTATGCACCAGAGACATGATGTGAAAAA